GAATTCGAAATGTGCAAGTAGCGCACACAAAAGACTATAACACTTACTAGAAGACTCTTTGAGGTCCTTTGGTGTGCTAGATAAGAATATCAATATGCGGATAATTCTGCATTGAGTTTATACAATATTTGGTTGTAGTTTTTAAGTTATGATAAATAATCCATGTATTACCTTATACACCAATTCAACCCTTTTATTTATCTGCCGATTAAGAAGCACCCTTTTATCTCTCTGGTGATGGCGCTGACGTAATTGCAAGCATCTTCCCAAGCATATATCATCCTCAACTTTCTGATTTCTCCACAAGGTTAGAACTTTTATCGAACCCTACTTATTCAAGCTAATTATATTGCAACTATTAAAATACTTTTGTCAGTTATTTCTAGTTCAATCTTCAACTCGTTAGGTGTGGTAGAGTTATAGGTGAAGAATTGGTGTAGAAAACTAAAAATTGGATCCTTAAAGAGCACACCAAGTATGATATTTATGATAAACCAAGAAAAAATAGTCATTCAAAAAAAACATATGACTAAATGTTTCCATTCAATTCGCGATCTCTATTTCTTTTTCCAAAAAAAAAAATTAAACAAACTATCCTTGAGAACTAGGCATATTAGCTTTGGCATCAAAATCTTAGAGTCAGGAATGGCAAAAAAACTTGGGTTACACTGTTATATAGTAAGTTCTTAATGGAGTTTGTGACGCTGTGTTGAGAAAGAAAATTTAAATAAAATACTGTTAAACCAAATGATGGAAGTAAGGTAGTTTTTTTTAAAAAAAAACAAAATCCACTAGGCATTGTGCCTAGGGCTGATTTTCATATATATATATATATATATATAAAACTAAAGTTCAACAAGGAGAGGACATAAACCTTACCTCTGAATAAGTGGTTGGTATCAGATGACTACTAAATCTATAGTCATTTGATACCTTACAAGTATGTGTAGTCAGACCTAAATGAGTGTACCATTTTGCTAACAAAAAATGGTAGCCTAATGATTTACAAAACTGGGTAAATTTAGGTCAACTATAAGACTAGAATCGGAGGACTCCTCTAATATACATTTGCTCATATAATACAACAGAAGACATGTTCTCCCTATATGAGGTGACAAAAGCATAATACAACAACATAAGGTAGGTAGTAAAGGATACATCAAAGTTATCTTCATGTTGGCTTGAGCAATGAAAGAAGCCATTGTGAAGGTAGCCCAAGTAGATGCCAAAAATGTGCAGAAAACTGTCCAAAACCTGTGTTGCATATTGTTGATTGCTCAATTGTAATTAAATCCAAAAATCAGAATAATTGATGCTTCTTGGTTGTTTTCTTGTATCATCTGTGACACTGCCGAGTGGTGGATAATGCAGTGACCAAAAAAAACTTGTTGACAGAAGAGAGGAGGCAACAGTTATCCTGGTGATTCCAGGTAATTGGAATTTCCCCACCACATTGGTATGCATTCGATAGAATGATCACACACAGTGCTGATACCACACCTTGAATGTATACCAATGTTGTGAGTTTACTTCGGGTTTTTGCAAAAAAGAAAATCAAAGTCAGGTAGAAAACTGTCTGGTTTCCATTTCTGGTTGGAGTGGAGAAAAGGTTGTTGTTGTTATTGTTGCTGCTGCTGGACATGTTGCTTTGGACAGATAGGTTAGCTCCCATTGTTTCAACAATATCAACCATATCCATGAGAGGAATTAGAGGTGGAGGCAAGCTGTGATGGGCAGATGATCCTACTAGTTTTTTTGTGCCTGAAGGCAGGGGTACCTAGAAGGTCCTGCTGAATCTGACCTCTAATGTGGTTGGGGAGAGATTGAATGGAGTAATAATGGTTTATGGTTGATAGGTTGTGGCTGAGTTTTGAGAGGGAATCTGCTGGGAATTGGCTTCCCTGTACACATGTGAGAATTTGATTTGTTCACATTGGTCATATAGTTATCTCAGATTCATTAATTGCATCTTTAAACTCCATGGTGGATCAGTGTCAATGGTAAGCCAATGAATGAGAAGTGCTGAGTCTGCTTCTAAGTATACATTGTTGTGGCCATTGTCAATGCACCACTTAACTCTTAAGGCTGCTACTTCAACTTCAGCTTGATTATTGGTACCTTCTCCTAATGGAGCAGCTAAGGAATGAATGAATGTATCGCTGCAGTTCCTTATTATTGCCCCTTCCCCTGTACTTCCTGGATTGTTCAGTGCACTCCCATCACTGTTGACTTTTACAAATCCTTGTTCATGTCTGCTCCAAACAACCTGCCTGACATTGATATAGTGTTTGATGCTCTCAGCAATGGGGTATAAATCCTCCCATTTTAGTGGCCAGCAGATTGAGGGGTAGGTTGTTTGCATGAGCATGTGAATATCTGAGTTGATGGAGTAGATGACTCTAGTGAGGGAGGAAGTTTTGGTGCCATATTTTGCATTGCACTTGTTCTTCCAAATGTTCCAGCAGATGATGGTTGGTACAGTGTCAAGTAAAAGCTTTTGCATTTCATTCTTTCTTTTGTGAAGCCACAATTTCAACAGCAAAAGTCTTAGAGGCATTTCGGTAGTGTGGATACCAGTTGGTCCTACAAACTTTTTCCATACTGTCAATGCAAAGTGCCCCCTACTGAAAATATGATCCACAGACTCCGCCCCAGGTGTATAACAACATACACATATGGATACAGTAAGGCTGCTAAATAAGAGCACCCTATCATCTGTAGGCAATTTATTTCTGAGAGCTCTCCACATACAGAAGGACCATTTGAAAGGGATCCTATTATGCCATATCATTTTATTGGAGAAACATATCTGCCTCTTCTTTCTGATCAAGTCCCATGCAGAGGAGCATGTGAAGTTTCCTTTCACATTTGGGATCCATATAGGTTGGTCTTAGAGTTGAGGGTTGTGATAAATTTTGATTTGAAGGATGGCAGGTATTAAAGGTGCTCGGACTGCTTCATTCAACTTCTGCAAATTCCACTGGCCTTGGTCCCAAAAATTAGCCACAGTTACATTGCCTGGCCTTCCTCCTCCACTTCTGTGTTGAGTAAGTGCACCATCTCCCAACCAGTTATCCCACCAAAAACTGCAGTTTCCAGAATGTAGTCTCCAAATAATGTATTTTTCAGCTTCTTTCTTGTTAGTCATCATTTTCTTCCATGTATGTGATTGCCCAGAATTCCAGTTTTTGGAAATAGGATTTGATCTCTGGCAGTATTTAGCTCTGAGAAACTTGCTCCATAGTGACTCTTTAGTTCTGAAAAGCCACCATTTTTTGTATTCCATGGTTTGGCAGATATCCTCCATTGATCTGAAGCCAACACCTCCTTCTTCAGTTGAAAATGCTAGTTTTTTCCAAGAGGTCCAGTTGTATTTGTTTTTATCTTTCTCTATTCCCCAAAAGAAGTTAGCTGCTAACTTCTCAACCTGCCTCGGTATAGTTTTGGGGGGGTTAAGGCTGACAACAAGTGTGTAGGTATAGATTGGAGCACATACTTAATAAAGGTGGCTTTTCCTCCATAAAAGAGGATTTTGCTTTGCCACCCTTTAATTCTGCTTACCACCTTGGCTACCAGGGAGTTGAAATATACTATTCTCATTCTTCCTGTGTATAATGGACACCCCAGGTAGGTAATGGGAGATTCTTTCTTGGTGAAACCTATGACCTGTTGAACTCTTCTGATGGTAGCTGGAATGCAGAAGGAGAAACCATGAAGTGGCTTTTGTGCCTGTTGATTTGCTGCCCAAATATGTGTTCATAATTGCTGAGAACCTCCATAATCTTCTGCAGTGATGCTCTAACTCCTGATGTGAAAATTATGATGTCATCTGCAATGCTTAGGTGGTTGACCTGTTGACCCCTCCTCTCCATGTAGAAGCAATGAAAGAATTGATCATGGGTGAGGTTGTTGAGCATCCTAGAAAGTAGTTCAGCTCCTATGATGAACAAAGATGGGGCAAGTGGATCTCCGTGTTTCAAGCCTCTGGTAGAGTGGAAAAAACCACATCTAGTGCCATTGATGATCACTAAGTACCAGTTGTTTGACATATTTCTCCATATCATGTCAATTATTCTTTCATTAAATCTCATTCCTCTAACCATAATACATGTAAAGCTCCAGGATACCTATCATAAGCTTTTTCCATGTCCAGCTTGATAATAATATTTGACCCTTTGTTTGTCTTTTTGATGCCTTGCACAATTTCCTGTGCAAGCATTATGTTTTCAGAAATACTCCTGCCCTTAACAAAACCAGACTGGTTGGGTGGAGATGATTCTGGGAAGGATAGGGCCAAGTCTGGAGCAGATAACCTTTGAGATGATTTTGTTGACAAAATTGCTGAGGCTGATAGGTCTGTATTCAGTGAAGGAGTTGGGAAATTCAACCTTTGGTAGCAAGACTAGGTAGGCACTAATCATGTACTTGGGCATTTCTGAACCACCAAAGAAGGCTAGAACAACCTGTAACAGATCAACCTTGATGATGTCCCAGCAAGATTGAAGAAACTTTTCATTCATGCCATTAGGACCTGCTGCACTTGTAGGATTCATTGAGAAACCCACTTTCTTGAGTTCTTCAATAGTTGGATCTCTGGTGAGGAGGTCATTTTCCTCATCTGTGATAAATGATGGAATACAGGATAGCAAGTCTTCTCTAATGGTGCCACCAGTTTCTGTAAATAGATCCTGATAGTAATCACAAGCAGCTTCTCCTATAGCTCCATCACCTTGTACCCATTCACCTTCAATGTCTTTGATTTTATGGATAAACAGCTTTCTTCTTCTTCCTCTCATTAAACTGTGGAAGTATCTTGATTTTGCATCACCATCTTTGAACCACTGAAGCAGTGTTTTTTGCTTCAGAATAGACTCTTCCAACTTCATGTACTTTCTGTATTGAGTTGTTACCTCTTGAAAATTCATTCTGTCATTTGCATCATTTGTTTGAGCCCAAATCATTTCTGCCTGCTTCACTTTTTCTTCATATTCCTCGGTCTTCTAAAAAATATCCACATATTCCTGCCTCGACCATTTACTTAAAGCATTAGAGACTGCTTTAAGCTTTTGATGGACGATCCACATAGCATTGCCTCTGACTTCCTGATTCCAGACTTCATGAACCAGGGGTATGAAACCTTCATTTTCCACCCAACAGTTGAGAAACTTGAAATATTTTTTGCTAGTATCCTGTCTGATATTCATCTCCATCAGCAGAGGATTGTGATCAAACCCAATGGATGATAGGTGTGAAATGGTGGTAGCTGGGAAGGAGATCAGCCAGTTGTCATTTACCATCTCTCTGTCCAATCTTTTCCAAATTATTGATCCTGGACCTCTGCCATTGGACCATGTATACCTAGAACCATAGAACCCCAGGACTACAAGTCCACAATCTTCTATCATACTGAGGAATTCCAAGCTCTTTCTCATTTGGTATGGTAGACTCCCTATCTTTTCTTCAATAGATGCAATAACATTGAAATCTCCAAGCACACACCATGGGATGGTACAGGTCAAAGATGTTTGCCTCAATACTTCCCACAGTGGTCTTCTGAGATTTGCTTTACACTTGGCATAAACAATAGTTAACTGGAAAACTCCAACTGCTTCTACATGCTTTAGTTCAACAGTCATTTGCTGCTCATCTTGGTCAATGATTGAGCCTGTAAAATCTTGATCCCAAAAGATCCAGATTTTGTAGTTGATATTTGATGCTGCTTGATGCATGGACAATTGGATTCTATAGTAGTTGATATGAGTGTTGTTAAGGAAAGGTTCTAGGACTGAAATGAAGGATAATTTGTGAAGGTGTTTGAGAGTTTTGAGTCTTTCAATGGCTCCAGAGGTTCTTATACCTCTTATATTCCATGTGATTGTACTAATCATTAAAAGTGTTTGGGGAGGATGTGCTTTGGTGGAAGGGTAGTGATGGTTGCTTTGCTTCTGGTGAGGTAATGTGGTGGCTTATTTCTGGGAGAGAGTCCTTGTGCATCAATGACTGTAGCAGTATCAGAATGACCATTAAAAGCAGTAAGAAGATGACTGCAAGTGTCATCATCCTTCAAGTCTTCACTATGTTCATCATCTGCTTCATCACCAATATCAACTTCATCCTCAAACTGTATGTGCATATACTCATCTGTTGCCTCATGCAAAGGTGAGGGTGCAACTAATGCCATAGTACCTACTTCCTCTATTAGACTCTATTAGAGGTGAGGGTACTACATATGGCACAGTTCCTACTTCCTTAACAAGAGGTGATGGTGCTACATGAGACATAGTTCCTACTTCCTCTGCCTGGATTTGAGTAACAGAGTCAGCCCCAGTTCCTACTGCCTTAGACACATGTGAAAAACTAGTAGAAATCATAGTACCTGCTTCCTCCAAATGAGGTGAGGGTGCTACATATGATTATACTCATGTAGTCAAAGGTGAGGGTGCAACATAGGGTTGAACATCAGATTCCATAAAGCTGCCTGCAAAGTTGATCTTTGTTTTAACCAAAGCAGCTTCCTGTTGTCTTTTTATTTGCCTTCTTTTTTTCTGACTTGGATTATTCTTTGATTTTGTCGAGGACAATTGATTTGCCATGGGAGCTTTTCCTCTGTCAACTGTGCTTTTGTGATCATCATCAGTACCAATTACCCCACTTGAATGCGATCAATAGGAGTCTTCTGAGTAGACTGTTGGGTGGTAGCAGGGGTTAAATGGTCTATCCTAGGGTTACCTTGTGCATCAGCACACTCATGCAAAACATGAAGAACACCTACCCCCTTTGGATCCCCAACCTGATCAACTATAGGTATCTCCTGACCATTCTCTTTTCCTCTATTAGCTTCAACATCAATCACAGTAGGGTTGGGAATGGGATCTTTCATACTCTCCAGAGCAACTGGAGGATCAGCTTGTGAATTAAGAACAATACCTGAGTTCTGGTTAGGGTTAGCCTCTTGTGCATCAGCTACTTGTTCAGTAGTCTGTTTGAATTTCTGTTGCCTGCTTCTTTGGTTGACTCCCCTAAAATTCTTCTTCTTTTGAGAGTGCCATCGATCTTTGGAATGGTTATCCCTTGTAATTTGTTGAGCTACTGCTTTTTGATTTTCATTTCTTTGTTGATCTTCCCTCTAGTCTTGCATTACCATCTTTTGCTTGGAATTCTGATTCTTGTTTTGCCCCTGCACAGCTTGTTCCTGGTTATGTTGAGATCCCCATGCATGCACTTTCCTATTATTGTTCTGATTCTCATTGTTTGCAGATGTCTCAGTTGCTGCTTTCTTTTTGTCCTCCTCTTCTCTTTTCCTGATAGAACAGTGGTATTCCTCATGTCCCAAATGCCTGCAGTATAGACAGTAGGTTGGGAGGTCTTCATACATCACCTCCAACTACTGCCCATCCCCATTGACATCTTGGTCATCATCAAAACCAAGCCACACATGGTGAGGCCTATCCTTAGTTAAGTCTACATGCATCTTCACTTTTGCTACACTTCCCCTGGTTTTTTGCATTGAGGCAAGGTCCAGATGTAATATCTTACCAATGGGTGACAACAAGACTGATAAGACCTTCATATAATAAAAATGCCAAGGCACTTCAAGAATGACTACCCATACTGGGACAATTGGAATGTCCTCATTAGGCTTGAAGTTGGGAGTCCAGGATTGAAGATTCATTCTTTGACCTTGGATGTACACGAATTGTTTGGTCCAAGACAATGGTGTGGTCATACTCATTATCTAGATCAATGTACACTGTTCGAGCATTGAAATGGGCTATTTTAACTCCTTATCTGAGCTCAGTTTGAGTTGTAAAGCTTTTTCTTATCACTTCCATTCCGGGCATAGTGTTAAGAAATTTGCCCACAATAGTGTATTGGCATCTATTGGCTAGAGTGACCATATAGTCTTTCCTGGTGAAGATAACTGTTGGTTGACCCTGTTTGTTGGTTATTTTGGGGGGTGTGAATTATATTGGGAATAATTCTGCAGCCTGTTTTGCTCTTAGTTTGGTTGCTAGGGATTGTGTGATGGTAGGGGGAGGTGGGGCAGGATAGTTGGGTGGTTTTTTTGGTTGGATATTGGTTTCTTTTGGTGGAGTATCTGGTTTATTGTTGTGAAGTCAAGCATTTTAGATAGGCTCTATAGGTGACTTATTGTTCTGTGAGTGTTGAGGTTTATCAAAGTAGGTTGAGATCTTTAGGTATGTGGAAGTAGGTGGGGAAGGGGTGGTTTGGGTTTTTGTTTGAGCTGGTTGAGGAGCCTTGGCAACATGACTAGGTAGCTCATTGGGTGGTGTCTTCTCCAAGTGTCCTGGTGTATTTTGAACAGCTGCTTGAATGAGGTCGACCACCTGGTTTTCTGATGAAGGAGATAGGGGTCGTGCATCAGTTTTTTGGCTATGTGGTTGCATTTCAATTGCCTAGGGATGCTAACAATCAATAGGAGATTGGTTTTCACGGGTGTGATACATAATTGACTGCTTGGGAATGAATGGTGCATTTGGTCGAACACTTGTAACAGTGGTAGCTGCAGAAATCAATTTTGGAGAAATTGTGACTTTTGATTTGTTGACCTGAGGTTGTGATGGATTGGGAAGATTCCCTATAGCTGCAGAAACATTTTGGCATTGACCTTGGTCGACTACAAAATATTGAATATTATGACCCCAGTGCACAAAGACGCACTCATTTGGCACAGCCTCCACTAGATTTTCCTTCTTTTTTTTCTTTGACAAGAGTGGGTTGCTCTAGTGGTGAGCACCCTCCACTTCCAACCAAGAGGTTATGAGTTCAAGTCACCCCAAGAGCAAAGTGGGAGAGTTCTTGGAGGGAGGGAGCTGAAGATCTATCGGAAACAACCTCTCTATCCCAGGGTAGGGGTAAGGTCTGCGTAAACACTACTTTCCCCAGACCCCACTAGTGGAATTATACTGGATTGTTGTTTTCTTTGATACGGAAACCAGCCACTATTTGGTTGCCATCAAAGTTTTCCCTGCCTTTGTTTTGTTATCTCCTTAATTTGCTAAATTGTCTCTACCTCGTTACCCGATAAATTTAATGCGGTGCACAAGCATGCCACATCAAAAGCATACCTTTTTCAATGGTATACATACAGTATGCAGTATTCCAAGTTTCCAACTATTCCCAGTTAACCCTGTTTTTTTAGCCAATGAATGACTAAAATTAGCTGCTCTTCAGCAATCAAAATTGCTTTTTTTTTCTCAATAACTCTAACCTACATAAACGAAGAAAGCGAAACAAAAGTAAAAGGAAAAATCGAAACATAAATAAAGCCAATTTTGAGATCATTAATCTCATTTAGTACCCCTCAACTGTTTGGATTCGCATAGTACGTTGTAGCACGCGAACACAATGGAAAACTCTGTTGAATGTAATGCAACACCAACACATCAGTCAAAAGCTGAAATGCAAGGAATTAAGCCACTGAACTGAGCATGCTGCATACAAATTTGCCATCTGAGACAACTAGCTTCTCCCCTTTAATGACTGCATCTAGTGGTAGAGGACTGAAACTCCGAGATGGGCCATAGAAATGAGGAAAGACATTTGAGTCATCGATAGCTTCGTAAACCAACCCATTCCCAAGCTGCAACAAAATAAACCCTATCATAACAAGAAAACTTCTCTCATCTGTTGATCAAACATATCATATTTAGATTAGAAAAGCCAAACAAATGTTGATTGTATTATCAAATATGATAATCCACATGCAGAAAAGAAAAGGAAAACTGGTACTCATAAATGGTGAAGTCAAGAGGGCAGTACTACTAGCCTTTTTAGCATCGATTTGCAGCAAGTACAAATCATCCTTAACATTCAGGAAAAAGTTCAGTAAAGTTGGTTGAACCTGCAAGTAAAAATATTTCAAGTTCGAGTAAGGACAAAACCGGCTCAACTAAATGCAATCTAAAGATAAAAAGTTAATCGTTCTCTAAAATATGCGAAGTTACAAGTCTAATATTAAATTAGATTATTTTTCTCTGCAACAAACTAAGCTATACAAAACCCTAATTGAACTTACTATTAATTTCTTACATGCATTAACGATCTCCAACTAGTTCTGGAAGTATTTCACTTTAAACATGTAGTATAAGTTCCTGAAGATAGGCTTCTTTTCTTCTTTTTCCTGTCAGGAGTTGTGATTTTTGGGTGATAGTTGTGACCACAAATGTTAAATCATGAATATGGTCCCTACTTCCTAACCAGCATGTCATAATTTGATTTAAAAAGTTTTACAAGAGAAAAACACTTGCAATTTTTATTAATTAGGAGTTCAAAACATAATTGCTCTATAAGAGGTGCTTTCCATAGTAAGGGATAGACAACTGAACAACTGCGGCAATAAGAACTTGAAATCTATATTATGTGTGAGGTATAGTCTCATGTTATGTGGTTATTAATCAACAAACATGTAGCTCTGACACTAATTAAAAGTTCTTTTTGCATTAACTTGGTTGAAACTAGAAATTTAGTTCATAATTAAATATGAAAAATAGGGGAATCCAACACAATTTCCCTTGATAAGATAATTCTCATTTAGAAATTTGATTTTTTTGGTAAGTAACATTTTCATTAATCACCAAGCAAACTCTAAATATTTGTAGCTCAACAAACACAGCTATCTATCTAAAAAAAAATCAACGCAGAACAAAAAATCCTACAGCACTACCAGCCAAAAGGGCAACCTGGTGCACTAAGCTCTCACTATGCG